CATTTTTATTAATATATGAAGAATCGGTTTGTGTTGATGTTGAAACAAGATTTGAAATTTCATCAGGATCTTCTTCAGCGTCATCAACTGGAGATCTTGATAAATAATCAGGCATAGAATTTGTTAAACCTGGAATATATTTCACCTTGAAATCATATTCTAAAATTTTTAATCTCCATCGTTCACATCGTTTATTAATTTGAGCTTTTTCATTTAATTGTGTTAATGCTTTATGGTCAGTTTCCCAAACAAATTTAATTCAACTTAAATAATTATGCCATTTATCTAATGCACATATAAATGCATAACATTCTTGCTCCATAGGAGACCATTTACGTTGTGCTTGAGTAAATTTTTTCGAAAGAAATGCAATTGGTCTATCATCGTCTGGATAAATTTGTAATAATACTGCTCCGATTCCCTCGTCAGATGCATCAGTTTGAACTTTGAATGGGAATCTATTATTTGGTAATTTTAAAACCAAATGTGTTGTAAGATAATGTTTAAGTTTTTCGAATGCTTTAACTTCATCGTCGGTTAATTTAATTATTGTTTTTTGTCCTCGTTTTTGTTGAGTTTTTGCTGTTGGAACAAATTTTCGTAATGGTTCAGCAATTTGAGAAAAATTTGGTATAAATTTTCTATAATATTCAGTTGCTTTAACAAATTTGCAAGCTTCATCAGCTGTTTGTGGTAATTTTCTATTCAATAGACCATGAATATTTTGTGGACTTGGACGGATTTCACCATTTTTAATTTGATGTCCAAGATATTCTGTTTGAGTTTGAGCAATTTCGCATTTATCAGAGTTGAGTCGAAATCGTGTATTTTTTAATATTGTACAAATTTCACTAAGATGTTTTAAATGTTCTTCAAATGTTTTCGAATAGATAATTACAACATCAATATAAGCTAGTGCATATTTCCATCTTGCTGGTCCTAATATGTGGTGAATAACTCGTTGAAATGTTGCGGGTCCATTCGTTATACCTTACGGAAGAACTGTAAATTGATAATGGTTATCACGAGTTGAGAATGCTGTTTTGGGACGATCCTCTTTACATAGAGGTATCTAGAAATAACCAGATTTAAAATCAAATTTTGTATTATACATTGCATCAGATAATTGATCAAATATTTCATCGATGCGAGGTAATGGAAATGCATCTTTGATTGTAATATCATTTAATCGTCGATAATCAATACAGAATATCATTGTTTTATCTTTCTTCTTAACGAGAACTATTGGTGATGACCATGGAGAAGTTGATTCTTCAATTTGACCACGTTCTAATAATTTTTGCGTTTCTTGGAATTTAATATCTTGATCTTTTGAAGAACACGAATATTGTTTTGAATATATAGGTGGATGATCACCAGTTTTAATTGCTGATTGTGGTGGAATATTAATAATTGATGGTGTCGGATCAAATAATATTTTATTTCGCCATAATATATCTTGAATTTTTGAACGATTGTTTCCATTTTCTATATGTTTGGTTAGACTTGATATTTGTTGTCGAAGTTGTTCTGAATAACATTGTTCTCTTAAATGTTTTTGTAAATCATTACCAGATAAAAAATATTCGTTACATTCATGACAAATAACATCTAATATGTTCGTATTCGAGTTGTCTTTTTTATTAAGAACAGCTCGTGGTTTAGATTTAAAATATGATTGTCGAATAAGTTTGTCATGAGTTGGAAAAGAATTTTGTGTTGTGGTATAAATTGTATATGTTGAATGACGGGCAATAGTTCTGATTCGTGTATTCTTTGATAATGTTTGTTGGTCATCATTTGCATTTATTAATAAAACTTTCGTTTAATTGTTCTTGACATTTAGTATTGCATGTAGTATAAAAATAAATTTAAAATGTAACATTTATAAGGTTCGAATATTAAATCATAAGCGTTATCGATTTGACATGTGATGTTAACCAATGTTTGTGAATGAGGTGGAAGAGTAATTTGATTGATTAATAATGCTGGATAATTAATACCAGTAGGTTCTAAATATGGAATTGAGATTAATTGACCATATTGATCAGGAATTGTCAATTGATTCTGATCACCAAAAAGATGTACATGGTTTGAATTAATCCAATCGTTTCCTAATAGAATTGATATAATTAAATTTGAGGCCACATATGCAGTTGTATAAGTTTTAATTGATTTAACTTTAACTTCCAATTTAATTTCACCAATGATATTGAGAGGTGTTGAATTTGCTCTGCGACATTGGTAAATTTTGGACATAAATGCATGATAGGGAATTGTTTTAAGAAATTTCGAATGAATGATTGAGATGGCGGATCCGGTATCAATAATGGCTTCAGTTGGTTGATCATTAACACGAATCTTGATATAAACAGAATGAGATGATGTTGTTGATGATGGCTTTATAGAGGTACTGGGAACACCGCCATCATGTGCCCCAGTTATTGAAAATTTGGACGAAATGTACAATCACGGACATGATGATTTTGACCACAATAAGAACATCCGGTCGTACGTTTGTAATAGCAATCGTTGGTTCGATGATTTGTTCGACCACAAATTTTGCAAGGATACAATCGTGGTTGAAATGTTGATTGGTCATTGCTGTATCGATTTTTTAATAGTTCTGCTTGTGAATTCATGCAATCCGGGTTTTGAAACATATTTTTAAATTGGAAATTTGGTTGATAATTCGAGTTCCATATAATGGCGGATCTCTGTGGTGGAAATGTACGGGTTGAAGATTTATTTTGTTCCATAAATTGGTGAACTTTGGGTTGTTTAATCATGTATTCAGATTGTGGTGTTTGTGTGTAGTTAATTGTAAATGTAGGTTGCGGTGTTTCAATTGAGATTTGTCGAGTCTTTTCAAATGTATCATATAGATCTTGTTCAATTTTCGCATATTTTAAAAATTCATTTAATGTGTGTAAGCATGATTCGTGGCGAGAAATTTCTTTTCGGAATTCAGGATTGATGCCACTCATTAAATGTTTTAATAATAATTGAATCAGACATTGTTGGTTCAATTTCACGACATAAATTTATAACATCATCAATGTAAGATGTTACAGGTTCATCATGTAATTGTTTTCGTTGTTTTAATTGATCAAATTTTTTATGAATTATAGTTGTTGAAAAATACTGATTTCGGAATTGTGTTTCGAAATCTGACCATTTTTTAAAATTATGTTCATTATTGTCCAACCATAGTCCTGCCGATTGAGTTAATTTACCACGAATAATTTCTAATAATTCATGATTATCAGATTCGTCATTCGCCTTGGTAATATTTTTAACACTTTTTAAAAATCGTTCGACATCCTCTGAAGGATGTCCAGAGAAATTTGGTAAATCATCAAATCGGGCTTTGCGAGCTTTTGCTAATAATGTTTGGTCAGCCATTAATTTTGAATTATTTGTTGGATTAATAATCGAGTTGATTTGTGGTAATATACGAGATGAAAAATTCGTAATAATTGTATATGGTAATAATTGCTGATTATTTTTTCTAACTTGAGATCTTGTTCCGGTAGCCGTGATAAATGTATTTGAGTGTTGTAATTTTGCAATAAGTTAATGAGTAGATAATAACAAAAATGACAATAAAATAATAGTAAGAATGATAAAGATAATAATTAGAATGATAATAATAATAATAGTAGTAGTAATAATATTTATATAATAATTATGATAATATGATTGTATATGATATGGATCATAAAACGAATTTATTTGCTAGAATTTCTGTCAGTGTCTCACAGTACAAAATAGATCCAATATCCTTAGCAACTTATAGTTGATCCAAATATTTCATCCCGAGGGAAACAAAATGAAAATCCCTTTCTTCTTTTTTTTCTTTTTTTTTCGGTTTACTTAAAAGTGTTCGTCATGTATTAGAGTAAATTATATTATTGATGAAAACAAGTTCTCTCACCGATCCTTGAATATAATTTCAATGTTGCTGTTAATAATCTGGATTGAGCAATAAAAAAAATAGTCGAGTTTTTTATGAAAAAAAGCTCTGAATCAAGTACAAGTCTCTTTATATATAGAGGCTTTGTTGAAATTTGAATATGTTCGAGTCTCGATGGGTAGAGGCTCTTTTTTATTTATTTATTTATTGTTGTTGTTTCGCCAGGGTCGCCAAATGTTAAGGATAGATGTGTGTGTTGGTGTTATGCACCATGTTTATTTCAATAATAATAATAGAAAACAACAAAACGAAAATATATGTAGTGAGAGAGAGAACGAAAATATATGTAGTGAGAGAGAGAACGAAAAAACACGATAACGAATACAGATCACAAGATAGATGTAAAGAGATCAAAGAAGTGGAGGAATAACACAGATTATGTATCTGTATGGGTGCGACATCACCCTAACAGATATATAAAACTAACAATTGAAGTAGTGAATTTAATCTCCATTTCTATAGAGAAGAGATGCCTGTATTAAAGCCTTTTTATAGAAAGTGGGTTCCTGTATTGATCTCCTTCTACAGACAACGGGTTCCTGTATTGATTCCCTTCTACAGACAACGAGTTTCTGTATTGATTCCCTTCTACAGACAACGGGTACCTGTATTGAGTTCCTTCTACAGACAACGGGTTCCTGTATTGATTCCCTTCTACAGACAACGGGTTCCTTTATTGATTCCCTTCTACAGACAACGGGTTTCTGTATTGATTCCCTTCTACAGACAAGGGGTTCCTGTATTGATTTCCTTCTACAGACAACGGGTTCCTGTATTGATTCCCTTCTACAGACAAGGGGTTCCTGTATTGATTTTCTTCTACAGACAACGGGTTCCTGTATTGATTCCCTTCTATAGACAACGGGTTCCTGTATTGATTCCCTTCTATAGAAAATGGATTTCTGTACTGATCCCCTTTTATACAGAAGGCTTTTGTGTATTGAATCTTTTCTATAGATAGTGAGTTCCTGCACTGAACACCTTCTGTATTGAAGCGGTTCCTGTATTGAACCTCTTCTATGCAAAATGGGTTCATTTATTGAACCACACTTATAAATTTTTTTCGAATACTTGGCAACCAATCCATTAAACTGGTCAAATCCTTTGAAGTTTTCTTTTCTGTAATCATAACCTCGATTGCGAATGCATTGCTGTCGTTGAACTAATTGAATCTTTTTCAGATAAACTGGAGACATTTTCAAGTTTAATTTCTGATATACATATTGAATTGATATGATTGGATCTTCCATAAGCTGCGAGTATGCAAGACAAACTTGCACTGGTTTCCTTGAAATAGTAATATAACGTTTGAGTTCGATGAAATCATATAATATTGAACAGTCGTTTTGCATTCGTTTGATGAGTAGCGACTTAAATCTACTGTCTCCGGCATATATATCTACACCAGTCTTACATAAAGTTGATACTTGTATTAATCTTAATAAGGAACCCATAAATTCGTTTGAGTGACGTAGATTAATAATAAATCTAGCTGTGGGATACATTTCAACGATTATTTTGAATTTCGTATGGCTGGTTACTTCTTTTGATAAATACAGCTTGTTAGAACCTCTCAAAAACATGATCTTTTGGATAACTTCACGATGTGTTTGCATAATGAGCTCTCGATCTTGTTGTCGCAGTTGTTCAAAAGCATCCATATAACCTAAAAGTGTGTCATATGGGAATCGCAATATGGTAAAGAAATGGAATAAGAAGCATTCTTCAAAAAATATGCCATCTTCTTCAAAATCAAATAAATTGTTTGGATGCATTTTTTTTGCTTCTTTGCCAATTTCGTGATCGGGCCAGTAATTAATATTTCTGACTAATCTTTCCAGATTAAACAGGGAAATCAATTTTTGTATTGTTATAAAAGGATATCGCCATTCGATGTGACGAATGGCAAAGAAATTTTCTTCGTCCATTCCAATGGTACGATGAAGAAATGTTGTGCCGCTTCGTGGTTCTCCAATTATGAACACTGGTTCAACCTGTTGCATTAGATAAGAATTATACATCAATTTATCTAGCTGCCATAGATAACCGAAAACAGACGCTTTAACAGTATATTGAAGAAGTAAAATCGCTTGATGAACTCTTGAAAAGAATGGCACTAAGCTTGTTGGATTGAAAAGAACATTTCTCCATAATTTAAAATACGTAGGCCAATGAACGAACGGGCTAAACATCACACCTATAAAGTAAATAGCAATGAAAACAAGTATATAAATCACCACCATATGTGATTTCTTAATCTAAAACAAAAAACAATTAATGAAATAATTGATGAAAAATATGCTGCTCCATTAGTCTCATTCGCTCATGCGACCGTTTTCAAGATAGTGGCTAGCTCGTTCATAAAATGCAAACCTAGAATAATACAGTAGTGTCTAATTTGAAACTTGAATTCAATGGAGATTTCAACTTTCAACTTTCACCTATCCAAGTATCGAAGTTGAAAATTTATTGGTGCTAAATTTTTCATGATTTTAGTAGTGGTCTCTAACCGTCTAGGTATAATTAAATCATCTCAAGATTTTTTCTGCTTTTTTTAGTGCGATGAGGCGAATAATTATGACTAGGTCTATTTGGAGTTCCATGGCACCTACATCGAGAGAGATCTGTTTGAAAGTTGTAGATTGAATTGAAAGTTCAAACTTAAGATTTCAATTGAATTCAACTTTCAATTTTCACATATATATCTATGAAAACTCATTTTTTCGCACCGCAAAAGTTATCTAGTATAATTCTCATGAAAACATTTTGCTCGCTGTGAATACAGCTTTCGACATTATTATTCCTATAAGGTTCAAGAATGTAAGTTATAAAGAACGGGGGCGCATTTAGCTGTGTTTTGGCCCCTTTTAATTTTCAAAGTCTACTCTTATTCATTGATATATAGAACGAAAAAATATCAGTATTTGATCATTTTGATACTAAAATAATGGTATTTTGGTTCGACTATAGCTTTGAACAGGTTGTGTTTGCACAGCATACTAAATGAGCAATTTCTTATTCATAGTATTGAGCAATGTAAACATTTGTTTGACAGAAAATAAATATCAGTGAAGAATGATTTAAAGTTGTCCTGATAGCTGTTTCTTCAGACTACATTTTCTTAATAGAATCATAGATTTAAAATAATTTTTTCAGTCTGCTAGATCCTATACAAAACTTTCATTGTTTGAATGTTGGGTCTAAAATACTCATGTGGATTTCATTTGTCGGTCAGTTCTTCTGTTAATAAAGCTTGCTTCACATTTAGTTCACTTCATAATCGATAGAGCTTGAAAAACTCTACAAAACGAACTACTATTCAGAGTGAAAACAAGTGAGCTACATAACAAACTCCTAACTTGACTATTCGAAGCCTAGAATTTTCAAGTT